AAACACTTACTAAGGGCTAGTTTTCAGGGAATCAGCCGACGAGGACATTCTCAAGGCTGTGGAGTGCAATAGTTGTGGAAGTTATCTAGAAAATTTCGTATCAGCACGTGAGCAACAATATGAAACATATATGATTCATGTGATATGGAAACAATGACAATTTTTAACTTTAATCTAACAAAACCGAACTTCTAATAAAAGTTTGCACTGAAATCAAAGAAAGAAGTGAACTGAAAATCAGACAAGGATCTAAAGGTTTCTTTCAGCCAAATAGTTTTTCCACTCTGAAGAAGGTAACTGCAATTTTTGAAGTCCATAAAACGCATGTTTAACAGTCCTTTACGGCCACGATCGTATGTCAACATCGGATCAACTAAACAAGGAAGAAATCGTCAGTCAGGACACAGAAGTATACTCCGGTGTATTGTCACTGTTGGCGTTTATTGCTATCGGAAGAGATATAGATTCTAGCTTCCATTATTCTTTGCAGTCTCAGTTTCACATCAATTTGAAGTTGAAATTAAAATTCACAAGAAACTATGTACTAACATAACGACATAGAAAAAGGTTTCCTTTACACGCCTATAAAATTCTCAACTTTTCAATCTATTTCATTGATCGAAAAATTATCAGCAGTTCCCAAGACCGACTATCAATGAACCTCGGCGTAGTTCGAATAGATCAGTAGTTTTTTCTTCTGAGCAGCTTCGAGGTGTTAATAGTAGCATTATTTAAATAGTAGTGATCTAATACATCAATACATGTAGTAGTGCAGCATAAATAATACAATATTCGTAGTGGCTCACGTTTCGGCGAGGCTCGCCTTCTTCAGAGCCTGGAAAGGTAAGATTGATCCGCTAATCACTTAGTCAAAACAGCAGAAAACGATATTATGCTTCGCTACTAGTTTGTGTTGTTGTATTGCATCACTAATACTCAATAAATTATCAGCAGCTACAGAAAAACCAAAACGGTCGCTTTTGTGATATTGATCGACGTTGCTTTATAAAATATAGACTTAAATATTATACATTACATTATCCGACACCACATTTATTATACTGTGCGATTTCCAGCACTTCTTTGTTTGATTCGTTTCCTCTCAGCACTTGCCATAGGCGAGACTTCCAAGGCCCTCTTTGCGGGAAAGTATGGCTCTTGCTTGAACTTGCTCAAATCGATTCACCTAACATCCTTAGATAGCTGTGCTATGGTGTTCCGACATGAATTAGTCGGACGAGCGTTTGGGTAGTCTAGGTTGTCCATTAATTAACCGTCCACTACCGCTGCGCTACCCGACCATCACGTAAAATTACTCAGGCATTTCTTAGGTATCAGTGCCAAGAGCTTACTCTTTTTATAGCAAAATATTGATGTAAACATGAAGAACTGCACCTTTTAAAATAACCGTTGGAACCAGTTGCAACAAACTTTGATGCGTAGCTGCTTCGTGGTCATGCCCATACAATACTGTATACTGTAAATCGACTTTCCATTAACCTTGACCAAAGCAGTCAATAATTGATGAAAATAAAACAAATCATTACCAATCAATCGATTATGCCGAGGTCTAAGGAAAGTCCGTTTACATATACATACATATATATATATATAATATATATATATATATATATATATATATATATATTATATATATATATATATATATATATATATATATATATATATATATATGGCGCTCTACGCAAGCTGCCAATAATACCGACTCTGTGGGATAGGTCGTCCAGAGAAAACAAGTGTGTTATTACTTTCAAGGGATGATACAAAACAAATGGCCAGTCAGCATACGACGATTCATCCTTTATATAATGAGGACGCGGAGTTAAGTATTCATTCGAGCGATGCTCTTCTAAAGAAGATTCAACTCGAGCGAGACGAAGGCGAAAATCCACAGCAAGGACGGACGATAGTGGACAATCGACTTAAATCATCTACTGCGAAGCAGACGAAGCGCGTCGAAACGTTAGTCTAATAATCGACTGATTTCATGCTCTATTGTTGTTAATCCTTTTGACCATTACATTTGCTTGGTCTACTCAAAGTATGTTCTACAAGACTCAGAGTTCATCATCCATGACTCTGATCGAAGCCATGGTCAACCCACATCACTCACAACTGTTCCGGTTGTTTTCTACCCGTGTAACAATCTTTTCAGCACGTTACATCTGCGGCGTTCGGTCAACTGGTTTACACTCATCACTTCTACCAGTTATTTCATCTATTGCCACCACTGTATTCTTCGGTAGAATTCGTGGCTACTCATTCTCATTTCTCTTGGGAAAGTGATCCTCTCTATTACTAGCACCAAAATCACAACGAAAACTTCCATACTTTCCATAAATGTATATTAATATTATAAGTGCCTTATCGCATGTGTGATAAAGAACTTTTTCCCTCTACCGCCTCACTCTTCGCATTCTATTGAATATAGAAAGAAATACTGAGTCTGTCGATTTTGGCTTGAAATAAATAGTGAAAGTAAAATGCAGGAAAAAAAAACTGTGCTACAAATAGCAGATGTTGATGAAGAGCTCATGAAAAGATGACGACATGCCGAAATTCTGAACTGATTTATTCAGAATTTCCACCAGCACGAATTTATGCATGTAATGCAGATTAAAGGTCACCGCCTGTTTTGCCAATAAATGTTTTTATCAACGAAAAACAGCCACATACTTGTTCTGAGACACAGAAAACTACATTGAATATGCTTTTACGACCCTGCTACGTAGTAATAGCTTATAGTTTACATGTACACAAGAGCTGAAAGTAAACATTTGAGTGTATACAGATTACACAAGTGCGTTGTCTACTTCGAAAAAAACGTTATGAGCTACATGAATATTTATCGCTCTCCAAAAACAGTAAAAATGAAAGCTCTCTTATGGAAAAAGCGATTCTACGTGTCCTTTGAGCGCGAAGTTAGCGACGCATGTAGTTGAATTACTTACGCTTTGTTCTCAATAAATAGCTCGTCAATAGTAGATTTTTTCCAATTTATAAAATGTTCTCAGCTTCAAAAAATTCAGGATCAAGCGAGCAAAACAATAACGTCAGCGTGTGAGGCACTGGAAGCTCCACAGATTTCTGGAATAGACCTCGTCTTACCACTAGAAGGGTTTATGAGATCTTTCCAGATGTTTTCTTTAGCTTTAGATATACTAAATTGGTTTCTAGATCATTGGAAATAAAAATTGCTATTCTATGTTCCTAAGGACAGCCCAGCACTGAGATAACATAGTAGTTGCAAAAAGCTCAACCCCCCGTCTCGATGGATAAAATCCAGCTTGCTCAATCTGCTTCATCTAAGATTGAAGCATTGAAAGAAAAAATGGGAAAGCTATGATTTTTGAGATACAGATATTGGAATCACATTTCGGTGGAACAGGAAAAGTTACACTTTACTGTCATTCAACTGAATAAAGTTCACTAAGAATGAGATATGTTCTCATGAACCTAAAGGCCGGAATCAGTTTCACGCACTGGCGCATTGAAGTCAATGCGCATCGGCGTTAAAATATTGCTGGAGACGTCCCTTAGACCTGCTCTGAATAACCGAAGGTCGCTAAATACATCAAAATGCACGCAATGAAATGAAAAACAAATACCAATCGATTGCTCAATCATTATCACGATACTGAACGGTTCAGGAGATATGAATCATAAGTAAAAAATTGAACAGTATGAGCAATAAAAGAAAGTTACGGCTCTTCTGAGATACACAAAAGATAGATATTGATCGCTAAATGTAAGGTGATGTTTCGTTCCGGATATGGCTTGAATTCAATGGGTGTCAATAAGACTAGTGGAGATAGAGCAGAACTCAGAAAACAACGATGTAACGTGATTGGTTTTTTGAAGAAACGCGATAACGAAAATATGGTTCATATCTCAAAGAACCCTCAACAAAAACACCCCCTACTTCCATCAACCCTCGACATAAACAATCAATACGTTTCTGGATTACTAAGCAAACACGATGCTGGGGAAAAAAAAAAACCGACTGCTTTATACGGTTGACATTTCGGCACCTTTATCTCGGCTATGAGAGCGAGCGCATGTGGCGCAGTGGTTAGAGGTGCCCTGCGTCGCACACGAGGTCAATGGTTCGATCTCGCTCTCATGGCCGACCAAGCCATCCATCCCTCCGGGGTCGGTAAATTGGTACCAGGCAGGTCTCAGACCTGTCTGGGAAGATAAGCAGCACTGACTCGGTTCAGCGGGAGGCCACCGCGAGTCATTGTAAAGTCCAGATATGCATTCAATCACCTCAAACGAAGTTAGAAATTGAAGTCGAATGCATGGCGCATCCTAAGGGATTGATCAACGCCGAGAGCTTTATCCTTCATCCTTTTATCTCGGCTATTCAAGATAAATGCTAATTCTTTCCAGTCGGCCGGAAAAGCTTCAAATTGCATTCGTCTCAAAAAAGGCGAAGCGATAGTGCCGAAACCTTACGCCTATAAATAAATTTTTTTTCACCCATAGCATGTTTGCTTAACATATTGGCGACCAACGATTCACAATTTGGCTAACAAGTACATTGAAATCAGAACTGATTTGTTTTTTACAGTTATTTTTACACGATTCGTCATCACGGTTTTTTGCTCCGATCCCATCACTTCCTGCATTTGATTTGTTCCATCTCACTCACTCTCTACGAAGATCTTCGAACAAACAGAATTCTTCTTTTATTTAACCGCTTTTAAGCGGTCGTATAATGCTATAGATATACCGAATGATGTAGAGTGAAGTGCAAAACTTTTGCGTCAGGTGGGAGTCGAACCCGGATTTCACCCAATCCGGAAGCAGTAAAATCAATCAAATAAATAAGATGATTTGTTCAAAATTATCCAATACCCAATATCTGTCAGCGTGACAGGGTCCAATGTTGATATTAACTACCTAAGCTAAAACATTGACGCTTGGCTGCTGACGAACAGATGCGTTGTAACGTAGAAAGAGTGGCGGTAAAACAAGCGTCGATAGTGTAACGGGTTAGAGCACACGCCCTCGGCTTGGGTGAGATGCTGGTTCGAGTCTTGCCTGACGCAAAAATTATGCACATCACTCTACATTATTAGGTAGATCTTCGAACACTTCATATGTTGCTTTGGCTTCAGCTTGAGTATCTCGTCTTCTTCATGAATGACAGAGAATCTTATTCGAGACAATTCTTGCAATCCTGGAGATGACCGAGCTAAGGCGTCCGCAGTTGACTCACTGCCGAAAGTGTTCGGGTGGGATCTCCAGTGCCTACTTTTTTATCTTATTTCGTGATACGTCCCATCACTAACCGCTGCGTTTCCTCGCCTCTCAATATTCGTCCAGCAATTAATGATCGGAGCACCGTGGCCGAGTGGCTGTGATGCTTGCAGCGGTGCGCCCGGGGTGAATCTCCCACAACACTCTCCGGCAGTCGACAATGAACGCTCTATAGAACGCCGTAGCTAGGCTAACCTCTAGATTACAAGGAGACATGCTTGATCAGTATTCTACGACGTTCAAGAAGAAGGAGAAAAAAAAAGCGAATTGAATGCTAGAAGTGCTGGGATCAATGAAATCAAAAACACACTGCGTATATAAACAAATTAAAAAAAAGGGGGAGTAGTGATTAGTTCTGGCGTAGCAAACGAATCTCTTGTGAACACCATTCTTTTTTCGATTAGATGGGAAATGTGCCGAAAAAAATCCGTTTGAAGAGCTTTAAAAAACAGTTCTGAAAAGCTATCAAAGTTAGCCTATCTATGGAAGTTATAGTGTCCACAAGATAGCCAATGGGGTTAGTAATGCGATAAGGTATTAAATATGATCTATGGCCATCAGCATAGGATTTGTTGAACTTGATGTACAAATAATGTAATTAAAAAACACGAATGACTCAAAAATGCAATCATTCGTCTGAATAAATAAGCACTTCACGTTCATATTTACTTCAAAACGAAACTGTCGCTATTGAACATTAATGAGATACACTAAAAAAATAGCCCTAAATTCATAATTGTATCGAATTTTTGAGTGACGACGTCAAAAATCTAATATGTTTAGAAACTCCGAGAACTTATGTAACATCTAGCACATAGTGACAAAAATACTGTGTAAAATAAGAAATCTATTTAAGTATACGAAAATCGATTACTTTTGTCGATTACTGGGTGAACACGAGGATGGTGAAAAAGAAATATTTTTGAAAGAGAGAGAAATAACGGTATTGAGGATAATTGAGGTATTTGAGAAGAGGCTTGAAACAATCTCATAGACTATAAATTGAGTAGTACCTCTATATTCGAATTGTTCTCTGAGACTCAAAATAAGTTATCGATAAAACAAGCAATTTTTTCTCAATGTTCGCGCTGTGTAACATCTTCGGCGTCGATTCCTTCAGATGCAGGGTACATCTCCTTGCAAGGAGTTGACTGGATCGAAAGCGCCCCTGACTAAATGACTGAACAGAAAGTCACCGTGCTACTGATGAGGCCGAAAGGCCGAAACAAGTGTAAGCCCTTTAGAGGCGCCATAACAGACCTCATGAAAGTCTCAAAATATGATACAAGATTTATATATTGAATGTTTAAAAAAGTGAGGTTATAAAGGACAATCAATGAGAGTTAATATTTGAGAACAGCCACAATTTTTCTGTTTTTCATTTCTTAAATTATCTTCGGCTGGTAGACAATTATGGAATATCACAATGCCGTCGTATACTTACTAGAAACGGGTTACAGTAGGACAGTAAGACCTTGGCAATAATCAATGTTAAGAGAAGCGCAGTGATGCGTTTTAAACTCTGAAAATGAAAACAACACCGTTAACGAGAAATGCTGAAATGCACGTAGACGATAGAGCCGACGAAATGATGACTCAGATGCTTCTACAAAACTCAACAGAAAAAAAGCGACCAGTAAAATAGATAATGACCATTTTTCCCTGTAAGCATCAAGGACTGTTATCGATCCGTTTACCATCCCCAGCTTGAACAATGCGCAATTTGTCACTCATCAACTACGCGCGGATCTATTTGAACAACTTAGTTGATCCGATTGGTACCATTAGCATCTCAACGGGACATCCACGACCGCAACCGGCTTAGCTGTATGTGTACAATCGCGGACGATCTCAGATCCAAAACTTTTACTGAATTAGAATTCTACGACTGTGAGAAAAGGCAAAGTACTACCTCAACTACCAAAAGTTGGAGGGTTTGTGGGGAAAAACCCAACTAGTAGAGAAAATTCCATATCTAGAGAAAAAGGTCAACCTACGAGCGTTTTTCCTGGGACTACATAAAAATTTCGTATTACATCTCTGATTCCTTTACGTTAAAATTAATATCTCTTAGGCAATATTTGCAACCACCAGCCCTTCAAACAATGTGTTATTTCTTAAATGGCTCTAATTTAGCTTAAATGATATGCTAAAAAGTAGAGAGCTATACACACCACTGAATATTCGTTATTAGTTTATTTTAGTAAAAAAGGGATTGATATCGAGGGTAAAAGCTCACATGCAAAAAAGCATAACACAACGCTCATTCCTCGGACCACAATCACAAATCACATTTTAGAGGAGAACTGGTCGATAAAACGGGTTGTAAATATATCATAAAGACTATATTGACGAAACTGAATATGATGAGACGGGTGAAACCAACTATAGTAACAGCTGTTTAAAATGGCGTTACTGTGTGGGGAAGTGGCCAAAGACTCTGACTCACAGCAAGTTGAATAGAAAAAAAAATGAACAGTAGCAGATAAATGAATTTAATTTCCACTATCTGCGATAGAGCATCGTAGTTCTTCTAGCATAGGATTACGGGAATAAATTACGAAGCGAACTGTTGACAATAGAAATGAACATCAACCGTGGGTAAAATCAATGTAGCAGGAAGAGTGGGTGCAAATGGAGAAGAAACAGATGTTCAGTTCCTCTAGTCTTATCCGCAATTCCATTCAGCAACATCCACCGCTCTTCTTGTCCTGCACTGGCTGCGATCCCGTGATACGAACTGCCGGAGCTCCTCCAGCTCCTTGCACTGGGCCCATACGGGACTTTATCTCGGATGCCATTGTCAAAAAAGCCTAAATAAAGATGATGATATAACTATTGAGGTAATTTGCAGGTAGATGCAAAATGTTAGACTACAGACGCTGCTCTACAGGATAAATCTTCACAGCCACTATCAGTTTAGCATGTACCATACCGACAAATGGAAAACGGCTTAAACAACCATGTTAAAACTTCTGAAGACCATAGAAAACAGCATCCTTGTCAAGACTTCGAACAGAAATTTTTAGGATATGACCATCAACATATGGCTACTCAATTTCTTCACTAATCATCTACCATGTGAATGTCTTATGGCTTATAGAGAAAAATTGAAGAGTACAGCTTCCTGATGTACCACAAAAACCACACACCTGTTCAACATTTGTTGAAGACTTAGCCGAAGTCTCAAGAAACGGAATCCCGAGTTGATCTGCGTATTCCTAAAAAAGTGTCATCAAAAGTGTTCCTTGAAAAGTGACGTGAACATAGATTGAATGGGAAGGAAGTAAAATGCAAGTTTACGTGATTTGTCTGACAAAATAACCTTTAGTGGAAGCAGCACACTCTGTGGACGACACAACACTTCTCAAATTTCCCAGTAACTAATAGGACAAAGATGTACTTCATCATTCATGCACTCGTCGACAATTGAGACTTCGTATTATATAAAAAGGATAAAGCTCTCGGCGTTGATCAATCCCTGAGGGATGCGCCATGCATTCGACTTCAATTTTTTTTAACTTCGTTTTGAGGTGATTGAATGCATATCTGGCCTTTACAATGACTCGCGGAGGCCTCCCGCTGAACCGAGTCAGTGCTGCTTATCCTCCCAAACAAGTCTGAGACCTGTCTGGTACCAATTTACCCGACCCCGGAGGGATGGATGGCTTGGTGAGCCATGAGCGCGAGATCGAACCATTGACCTCGTGTGCGACGCAGGGCACCTCTAACCACTGCGCCACATGCGCTCTCGTATTATATACAAAGCCATAAATTGAAAGGAAGTAAAAACGTCATCAACTTCTGGACTCTTTTACGAATGATGCCGTGACATCTGAAAAATAATGATTTCTTCTTTGAAAAAGTTGACAGTGGTCCTGCCCAACAACGAAATGAAAGAACAAGATTGCTAACAATCCGGAGAACTCACAGATTACTAATACTGCGACAGATATCTATTGAATGTCGGTTCCTACATTACTAAGACCAAATTTTACATGCACTTTAGGGTACGAAACGCGGTGTTGAAGATATAAAATAAACCGTAGCAAAGCAGAAAGCGTAGGGTAGGAGAGAAGAGCGCTAGCAGAGTGTTCAGTGATATTCGGCGTGAGACTAATCATCCAAATACTCTCCGGCAATCAAGCAACGAACGCTCAAGCCTGGCTACCCTCGAAATCGCAAAGATGTGTGCTCGATCACTAGTCTACGATATTCGTGCAGAAGAAGAAGAAATCGTTTAGGAAGCTATGAATGCGAGGAGGCGATTCTAGTGCCACATGTGCTGAGATTCGTAAAGTAAAGAAAAGGAAAAGAAACTGTGGTACGAGCAAAAAAAGTGATAAAGTGAAAAGCAAAGAACAACGGTTGCGCTCGGATGAGTCATCTCACAGCCCCCCCCCCCCTTTCCCCGAAGGCAAGAGCGCATTAGTTCGGAAAAAGATGATTTATACACGTCAATGACTGCCCAACATAAACGTCATCTTAAATCAATCGCAAATACGCATTACCCTATGGACCGAATAATTCGGACATCAAAAAAGTAGACTAGAAGCCTGGATAGAACCCGTCACATAGAGCGATTTGTAATGCGAACAACAAACATTGCACAAAAACCTCCCGGAGAAAGCAGGTCCATGACGGGAGTATCCACGACTGATGTGCATTAACGAGACGGTTACTAGGGAACAAAGCGAATGATTTATGCCGGAACCTATAGCGACTAATGAAACCGAGCCGCTGACAAAAAAAGTGAAAACAGGTCGAATTTAAGCGTTCCTTTCCAAAG